AGGACCATATTCCTGAATTTTTTCCTTTTTGGCTCATCAGTAACATGTTCCAACATATGATCCACTTTGGCTATCAGTTCCTCTATACCTACGCCCGAATCTTTCATCTGTTTTAGTTCAGCCATCTTCTCATCACCAACAATTTGCTTCAGCAATGCGCGGCAGCCTTCTCGAAGCTTCTCACTAGCTTCCTTCTTTTCATCACCGGTTAGACTTTCGTAATAATCAAAAATTTTCTTTTGCATATCCGCTTTCGGTTTTCCTTCTTCCTTCATTTTCCTAATTTCATCTTTCTGGATATCCGTGAGCCAGCTTAGATGCGTTCGGAAGTACTCATCCAAATTGTGTTCATGATGATCCCGCTTGCTTCGACCGTGAGCTACAGCATGAATCTTCTGAGGAAGGCATCGAGCTCCTCGATGTTGTTGATGATGATGATGATGTTCGTGACCGCTTTCATGTCTGCCTTCATTGTACCATATATGTTCGCATACTTCCAGGTCTTTATTTACTGCTTCCTGCTCTCCTGGCGGCAATCGCTTGATGTACTCTCGAACCTAGACTGCCTTATTTTTTACTCGGATCGGAGATCAGTCTGTTTGGGAGTCTTCTATAATTTCACTTCTAGGATCTACAAAAGTTGTAAAACAAATTACTGAGTCTTGATCTGAGCAGAAAATGAGAAAATTTAGAGGAAATTTGGTACACGGGATTTTCTTGAAATTTGAAAGCATTCTAAAATTAAAAATTTGATTACATAAGCTGCATTGGTATGCATCACGAGTACTTACGATACCTTCCGCTTGCAGGCGGAATGATCACTGTGGTGCAATTTTTCCAATTCGACTCTCTCCTCAACGGATGTCACGTTTCCGAGCCAAGCATAGCAAGACTGTTTGGTTTTTTCAATAATATGAAATTGTTTGTCAGTTTCCATAATTCCGATGTAGGAAAGTAATCTAAACGGAATGATGCAATTTTTGCAATTTTTCTTTACAATGCAATTTTTCTGGGGTTATGGGATGATTCACAAAGTTTGACTAAAATTGGGAGGATAAAGACCAATTAAGACTGAAACTGGAAAACTGAAAATTTTGGAAGCCTGTAATTTAATTCGAAGAGTCGTATGGAATATAAGGTGCATTATGTTTTTTCAAAGTTGAACTTTGAGATAAGCAAGCTGAATTTTTATGTTTTCCAACCATTTCCATATCCTCCCAAACTTCCATTTTTTTGTTGCAAGTATATTTGACAAAAACCAGCTTTTTTAGTATTTTTCATACTTTGAACGTTATACTTTTGTTTAATTGCAGACAGTGGTTCGCCGTTTGCTTTCATCTGCTTGATTTCTGCCTTTTGCTCAGGTGTAAGCCATTGGAGATGTTTCTCCATTAGAGCATCAATATCACGTTTTGATCGGCCAAGTTGTTTGTGATACACCTCATCACATATCTATATGACAACTTTCAAAGGTTTAAAATGAAGACGATTAAAAGAAAATGATAGCAAGTCAGAAATAATAGCTCGCTGTGGATGGAATTCTATTAAATTTGTCACCATGAAATTCATTTCGAAATTTGAAGTTCTGGTTCATTCGATGTTCTGTTCTCAATTTCAAGTGTTTCTAGTAATTGTACTATAATCATTCTTGACTTATAACTCGTATTCTGTAAAAGCTATCAGAGCAAGTGATATTAGAGGAAAAAAGTTCATAAATACAAGTTGTGTAGGAAAGGATAATAACCAGGAGAGCTTTTCTCTCAAAAAAGTAAAATGAACTACCTGATAAAATTTATTTGCCCTGTCTCGTACGCCTTGTGGTTGTCGGTTCAAAATTCCATCAATAATTTTTTTATGTTCGTCGTAATTCATTTCGTCGCGCATGACTTCCAACTTTTTAATTTCGTCTTTTCTTGCCAAAGCCGCAAAATATTCCTTACATTTCTCCTGTAAGTTATGCTTAACATCACAACTTCAGTGCATTGTTGGACGGGGACTTTTAAGGAATTATCTTTTAATGAATCCTAGAGAAAATTCCAATATTATTTCCAGTTATAAAAGGTATTTCTGCATTACGAATGAGATTCTTTTATCTATTTTTATCATAACTAGAAAGGTGTGAGAGAAAGAGGAATGAGGAATGAAGATAAAAAAAGGAATGATAATGAAAAAGGAGGAATGAAGATAGATCTAGTGTTGAAGGGCGATTTTTTAAAGAATTATCTTTTAATGAAACCTGGAGGAAATAGTCCTAATAAGTTTGTGACAAATGCTGCAGTAATACTAAATTAATAAATAATACTGAAATAATACTGAATTACTAATACTAAAATAATGCTATACTAAATTAATACAGTAATACTAAATTAAAAAATTTGGCAAACACTAAATTAGCGTTGTCAACATTAGTTCAGGTATGCTTTTTAATTGTTTATGAATTTATTCGTATCGTTCCAGGAAGTTTAAGAAAATGTCCATTAACTTTTTTGTGTTTCGCATCAAACAATGGTTCATCATTACGCATCTGTTGCAATTCATGCTTAGGCTCATCGTTCATCCATAATATCCATTCGTTATACTCCTCATCTATGTAACGTTTCCGACGACTAGAAATCATTGCTTTCTTCCACATTTCACGACATATATCTATAAACGGATCTCTTATAGATAAAGAAAATTTGAAGTACTAATTTTTAATTGAATATATTGTTTCAATGTTATTGCTACGATGACTCTGGCAGAGATTCCCTTAACAATTTTTACATCATATTAAGCAAACATTCTTCATTCCATTAATAACCTTTAATATAATGCAGTTTATCTTGTTCTTCCTTAGGCAGGCGTTCGAAATACTCATCAAGCAAGGTATTAAAGACTAATCGATTTCTTCTCTGCAATTCAATTTAATTTGAAACATAACAACAAGGATAACAATGTCACTATACTTTGTGTTTAATTAAGCAACTTGAAGTTATCCAAATACCGGACATAATATGGCAGTGTATGATTAGCATAAATTCCAATTTCAAGTGTTTCGAATATTCATTCAGCTAAATTCGCTTAGTTTAAAAGGACCGCCATTAATACATTAATATTAAAGGTAAGCTCACCATTTGACAAAATCGGTTATGCTAAATCAGAGGATTTATTCCAAATCTTCTATAATTTTAGATCTTTGAATCCCAACTTCGGATTTGCGTCCCGAAATCGTTAATTTTGAAAGCTAAATGTTTAACCTCAAATAAATTCAAAAGCAGTTGGATTTCATGGAAATTTGTTACATCTTGTACCCATTGAACACATTTTGTTCTAATTTGATAATCCAATTTCTTTCTTTTGTACTCTGGAAATGCCAAATAATACTGTTTCACCTGTAAGAGATCTATAGTAATTCAGGTGATCCATAACAAAATAATTATTTACCAAAACAATATTTAATTCCAGTCTTGGATTGCTAAAATACAAATGTTGAATGGACATCAAATGTATCATTGCAAAGCATGCAATATTGTCACAAATTTACTCATTCAGTAAATTGTCTATGATTAGTGCAAGTGTTTACATTAAAGAAATGATGTAGAAATTCTCGTACTCTGTGTTTAATATCCTCTTCGTTGGCATCACTAGCTTTCATGCCCTCTAATAAAGCTATCTGTTCGTTAGAAAGAAGATGAACATTTCCACTGTTTTGTGATAGTGCTTGTCGTAATGCTATATGACGTGTACTTCGTTTGATATCCAAATTGTTTAACTTGTTGCAACCATCCTATAAGTTTTAATTTCAAGCGGAGAAAAATATTTTTCAATAAAAGAAATGAAGCAGTTCATTCCTTGTTTCAACTTTCATTGGATTTCTCTCAAACTTATTCACGGAAACTCAAAAAAGGTACCTTCCACTGGTTGATCTGATTTCGTTCCTTTTCCGGTAGACGACTTTTATATTCGTTCAATTTTGTTTCGTATTCTTCAATATCATTCTTACTCCTCAGGGCCTCCAACTCCGCTATCTCACTGTTTGTAGCAACCTAAATCGCTTTGTTCACTGCCTATGAAAATGACTATTAGCGCTTAACGCAAATAGTCAAATAGGAACGATTTATCATATCACAGAACTTTTAAAAAACAAATTTTTAGAGGTTTCAGTTAAATTTGTCTTACCGTCTCAACCCATTTAATACATTGTTCCCTATACACTTTATTCCATACATCTATCTTTTCGGATGGCAGTTTAGAGAAAAATTCCAGTATTCTGTTCACGATTTTGCTCTTAGGTATCCCTCCAGATTCCATCTGGAAAAATTTTCCTTTATTCCTTTTTTGTCTATTCAGAAAATTATGTTTGAATTTTCTGAAATATTTTGGATGAGGGGGAACGACATTGATGAAAGAAAAGAGCTGCTTGTTCATAGCTCAGATATGAAGCGCAACTAATACAAAATTCAACCTTTTGTGTTTTGCTTAACTTTTTGATTATATTTATTTTTTGAGCATGTAAGATAATTGAATTTATTATAATTATTTCAAAAAGTTTTTTCCAAGTTATACTGTAAACTTACCGTTCGAATTTCTTCCTTCTGCGCATGCGACAGCCAATCATGCAGTTCAAAGCCTCCCTTTTCTCTGTAGTTTATCATTTTAAGAAATCTGTTTTTGTAGTTTATTATCTTAGCTTCCTAATTATTGACTTTCTGATTACTCTCCACTTAACTAACTTATTTGATTGCTTATATGTTTGTTCAGTTCGGCTTTTTTTTTCACCTTGATCTTTATTACTATAAATTGGCTTAAAGTTCAACTAAAACACTAAAAAAACTCTGTCAAGTAAATATGTTTTATACCTCATGAGGGCATCGTCGCCAACTTTCCCAATAGTTTCCGCATTTTCTGATTTCATTTGCAAATGTCGCGTCGTTCTCGATATTCCCATTTTTTCTTGCACCACATTTGCTTCCTGTATGTCAAATACATTTTCATAACTTTCCTGAACAATTTTTGATCTCTTTCATTAGCAATCCTTTGGATTCTCGATAAATTTTATAACTTCACTGAATTCTAGATCTGTTACAAATGCCTTTTCTCAAAAGAGTAAACTTCGTGTTTGGGTCATCACTCTTCTAGCAATTCAAAAAATTTAAGTTATGGTAGGTTCTTGCGTACTTTATGATATTTATAAATGTTGGATCTTTCGTAAGTGCTCAATTCAATTAACTGCAGAAAATTGTGTATGAGAAATTCCTTTGAACAAGCAAAAAACTTACAGGTCTCGCAACGACAAAAGTGAATACTACGATTGTCCATATCACGGATGTTATCAGCATTGCTATTATTAGCTAGAATTTTTATATGCTAATTCATAAACAGTATTTGATACTGATAAAAATAAACGTCAAAAACGTAAAGTCGACGAATAAATGGTTTACAACGCAATTTAAGTGTTGAAATACTTGAAAATACTAATAAATTTAAATATATTGTATTCTGATTTCGTGAAAAAATTTGAGTGCCTTGTGGTTTTAGAAATCAGTTAGTTAAACCAAAGCATTCTAAAGATTTAAAAATGTTCGTAATTCATGCTTTCCGTGAATTTCAGGTGCTAGCTCGAATTTTTATTTCAACCCTAATCCGTCGTTGTCTCTTTGATGGCGTAATAAAAATAAATTAATTAACCACAGAATTGTTATATAATAAAATCAATGGTAGCACAAATAGAACACTGAAAATGGTCTTTTAAAAAAGTTTAAAAGTTTATTCTGGGAGAGAATGAAGGAAAAGAAGCCTTTAATGAATCAACGTAAATTAAATGACAAAATCTGGGAATAATAGAAAAGCTAAGGCGATGGAGAAAATCGTGAAGGTCATCTTTGCTGGGATCACTGGTATCCATTAAATAAACACTGGAATATAGTTCAATATTCTGTTTCTCATTCTTCCCTTCCCGCCTCTTAGCCTCTAATTTCTATTGGAGCTTAATGATCAATAAGTATCGTCTATGGATGAAGAGAAATGTGGGGAACAGCTGCTGCGGAATTACAACAGGTGCTGGCTAATCGTCGAAGTAAGGAATAAAATGGACACATCATCATTCGATTTCTTCAACTTCTCTCCCTCAGATAACAGCAATTAGCTCAATGCATGAATTATATTTCCGCACTGCAGATGATGATGAGCTTCTTCATGACAAATATTATGGAGGGTAAGCCGCCTCATTGGCAAATACCAAAAATTATTATCTGCCACCAATATCAAAGTGTTTAAAATTAAACGGCGAGCAATTTTAGAAGTTCTTCGGTTAGTGATATTTTACCTATTGGCAACTAACCATGACAAAGTAGTTCATTTTGTTATTTGAACTGTCATACCACAAAGAGTAATTAATATCAAATTAAATTTTGATAGAATGACAAATACCTGTCGCACTGAAGAAAATTGTAATTGTAGTTTGGGAGTGAAATATTTTGGATATCAATGTGAATATATTTCCGATGCATATCTCATTTGATATGAACCGAGTATAGGGAAAAGAATCATAGAATATTTCTGTTAAATTATTAAATTGTCGTAATTGATAAATTAGAGTCATTCCATTTAGGCTTTAGTCTACGACCAGTATTTTTTTAGCTAATAATGCTTGAAACATAAAAATCCATAGAAAAAGGGATCAAAACTGGCGTACGTGTAGAAGGATAATGGATTTTGCATGATGAAACTTTAAGCATTATCTGGCCCTAGTGAATCAGCTTTAAAAAGAAAAAAAGAACATGTTGAGCTATGAACAGATATTGAGAAAATTAAAAAAATCAGTTTTTAAACTAAATCTCTCGAATATTATTCTTGATTCAAGACCTAATCACACAAAATAAAAGTCAAAAGTAGATGCTCCTGAAAAAGATGTGGGCAACTTTAATAAGGTGGGAAATGTGAAACCTAAAGCTTAAAGAAAAAAAGAATTATATAATAAAGGATTATCATCACAAACCACGTCCGAGGAACAAGAAATATACTTTGGTGTTTTATTCTGCTATGTCTAAAAACGATTCATCAACACCAACTGTTGGCAACTGCAAGGAATTCAAAATCATTTGTCTCCAGACTTTTTGTATCTTAAAAACATTTAATTAGTTTCGTGAAACAAAAAAGCAAAGAACAAAAAACAGAGTTCTTGGTTACACGAAGGAAGAGCGCAGTTGTTTCGTAGAAATTTCAAAGCTTAATCGAAAACAACGCGATGACTGTGGAACCTTTCCAAATGAATTTTTGGAATGCTAAATAACCAGCAGATTCATTTTCGAACCAAAATTTTATAAATTAAATTCCTACAAGCTAAAAATATGGTAGATTGTTTTTTTTTTAACTCTGATCTATCAAAATGAAAAATTGAGATAAAAAGGACATCAAAAGGATTTCGGAACTGCAAAATCATAACTAGTCGAAAGAATATCATTAGTTATGAGTGGCATCCAGCTGCAAGTTGTTTACTGTGATAACCTGCTGGATGAATTGTTCTGTTACTTGATGTGTAGAAAAGAATTAACTTTGTCAAGATCTATATTCCATGCAAAAAGGTTAAATTGAAACTTGGAATTAATTCCTTGTTTCGAAAGAAGAATTTCCTAATGATTTTTAAGGGTAAGTAAACAAAAAAAAAATCTAGGAGCACTGTTAAGTTTTGAAGCTTTCGTTCTAATTTTTTGCATGTAAGAGAAGCCAATAAATCAAGAAAATTAATGGAATTGAATCTGAATGCAGGTTGATTGCAATAAATTTTTTTTCATTCAATTTCTCACAAAATTTGATGCGAAATAAGCAAATTAACTCCAATAAATCTGAATATTATTTGATATTGTGCATAACTATTATATTGCTAGAATTTACCCAGTATTTCTGAGTTTTCTAAGACAACTGTACAAATCAATACTATGCAAAATTCAAAGAATTTGTAATAGTTGTCAGACTTATGAAAAAAGATTTTTCCAGAAATATCGAGTGACTAAAAACAGAAAGAAATTTGCAGATGGTAGTCCGGCACGCATTTTTAGAATCGGAACTCATACTAACCTTATAATAAAACCAACAACTGAAATGGTATAAATTTTAATTGCTGAAATTACAGGAATAAAATTGTTCTGAGACTAAGCGGAAGTCTCGGCGGCAGATCTTTCAGATGTAGTCTTTTTCAGTGTAAAAAGATATTGCACAAGTGAAGTTGCTGCTGAAATTTCATTGCCGCTGTTATTCTCGGTTCCATTTGAATGATATTTCTATAAATTTCCACAAATTCTTCCTTCCCAACTTTTAAATTTATTGATTTTATAATTTGGGCAAACTGTACTTATTGAAATCTTAAATTAAGATTTTCCAAGGGAAAAAAATGGAATTTTATCGTTCGAAAAATATCTCACATTCTGCGCAATAGTCGTAAAAATCGAACGCTTTGCAATTAGCTCAACTTCGTCATTATCAGTGGCAGTAGTAACATCAGATCCAATTGTTATTACCATATTATAGATAAAAGTATCAATCAGACTATTTTTGGCCAAAAATTAACTTTCAATCCGTTTGGTTCTGGAAATATTAGTTGACCAATTAAATGGTAATTTAAGATCTCCTTCTTAATTGCGATCGCATTTTAAAATAAAATGATAATCTCCTCTTCCAACCATATCTATCTGTTTTTCCTTTGAAAATCAAATTTAGAAGCAAATTCTGCTGTTGTTTGTAGTCATAGCTTCGTAAAAAGTTAGAACAAAAAATCAAATTTCAATTTCACCAACTTCGAAATGTTTAAATGACGAATGGGTTGAATTCTTTTCATGTTATAAGAATTGGGTGATTTGGTTCGACTTTTGATTCTTGAATAGGTTTGATATTTCCAATCTTCTTTTCCATCGTTATTGAGGCGTCACCGGAGGCTTAGTTATTCAAGTTAGTAGGGTCATGCTCATTGTTTCTGTCGAATTACAATTTAGAACTTTTTTTAGTCCTTAACTAAAAAACGCGCCTTCTTTATTCAAACCACAGCCACAAATGAAACTGCAAGTCAACCAAATCTTACAAGAAAATATAAGGCTTCGTAGCAGCTCAAGATATTATTTTCTGGTTCTATAAACATTATTCAAAGAATATGAAACGGTTATTGCAAAATTTGTCTAGGAAGCTAAAATCCATTTTGTTTACTTCCCGTTTAGCACATTTTCCAAATTTTACTTTTCATCAGTAATCTTTCCAGTCAAATTATTTACTGGTGACGACAAAATAAAAGTTGAAATATGAAAGTTAAGTGTAATATTTAATACTCCAATAAGAGAATGGGAGGAAATCTTTTTCCAGTCCTTGTTTGCAAATGTTCGAGCCCTTCTATAGTTTATTTCAGTCTAATCATCACTGATGATCAGCAGAAAGTTTTGTTCAATGTATTTGATTCTCTAGAAGGTTTTAATTTGCATCTTACGCATGTGTGGGTAGACTTTTAGGACGAAAAACTTTGAACACTTTTTCGGAAATTTCAGTCTAAATGGTAAACTAGACATTTGTGCAAGACTGTATTGCATATAACGGACTTCGCCGAAAGCTTTAAGTTTTTTTAAAAATTTGTCATTCATTCTGGTAACTTCCTCTTACAACTTTTATAATGATTTCTCAGATTTCAAAAAACACAACTATATTGTACAATTTTTTGATTATTGACAAGAGGTTTTTTAAAGTGAGTTAGCGAGAAGTTTCTTATTAGTGTGTAAATTAAAATTTAATAAAAATTGACCTACGTAAGATGCGGTGTAATAACGCGAGTAGCGAAGTTTATTGCAGTTGATTGGTTAATAGTACAATAAGAATAAATGTCTAAATTCAGTCTAAATTGAAATATAGAGAGATTGGCTTGGGAGAGGGAGGGGCAAAGAAAATATTTTTATAAAGTAACATAATTTATCGGGAAGTGATACTTCCCGTAAGTTGACTGAGAGAAAAGCATGATAAATATGGGTTGCCGATAAATTAAGGAAAATTGCTTCGGGTTTCCCGACTTTACATCAATGCAGTAATGAAACAGTTACTGTTTGACGCGAAACGTTGGACGAGAATTGAACGGCTGAAGGAAGTGAGAAAGTAAGAATTAATAAGCAATATAAATGAGATGAGGATTCACTTAACAAACTATGAAATCAATAAGATAAAGTAAAGGCACTGAATTGTGTCATGTACAAAAATTAATCATACTTTGAAATGTTACAATGAAAGAAACTCATAGTGTGTGTTGATTAGCTAATTTATGAAAAAAGTTTAAAGGAGACACAATTTCAATATCCTGCATCTATTCCAAGTTAACATTTTAAGTTCTGTGAATGATATGTACGTAAACCATGTAATCATGGCTTGCAATGCTAGCAGATATCAACAGCGCATCAGTGCAGTAATGTAAGAACATCAATCCCAATCTGAAAATAATTTCAGATAACGTAATGAGTATTTTCCTACTTTCTAGCTCTTTTTTTTGAAATGGATACATTCAGGAAGTTACATTAAGATATGCATATCCATAAATGCATATCTATGCATATCCGAATACTCAGCTCTTTCCGATCTGATCTTTAACATATTTGATCAATGCCTCTGAAAATTCCACTCTTTGAAGCCCAATTAATAACAAACCAAAAAATTCTCTTTCTAAATTTTGACCATGAAAAGTAAAAAGCAAAACAGACTTCCAAAATCTTCAATGTTTAGTTTTCATTTTTTTTTCACCTTTCTCATCCTTCGACTTGATTATTTTACTTCACATTTACTAAAGCTCATAAATATTTCTTAGTACTATGAAATTAATGCATTCTTAAGCTTTCCTTCGTCTTCTCTTTCATCACTTTTTGCATATTGAGAAAATGGAACAAAGCTTGCGGAAGTCATAACAAACAAACGATACCCATTTCCACTTCTATGTTATTAGTGGTTGGTTGGACCCAAAAAAATTTTGCAATCAAAAACAAATAGTTCATGTCTTTTCTAACATTTTGTTGGAAACGAAGCTTAGTTACGAGGAATATTTTTAATTTAAAGAAAAAGAAAATAAAACAATGGCATGGATTATGCAGTAAAACAATACTTCAAGTCTCGAAAACATAAAGATTATTTAAAAAGAAAATGAATATTTCGGGATGATAAATTTGGTTATTTCGAGATGAAAAGTCAGTGGCGCAATTTGCAGAACAAACTACTCACCCTATTTTTGGAACAAAATAACAGCTATTTCAAAACGGGGAATTTCAGCTACAATCGAAAATAAAAACTCCATTTTAAAGGTTTTTCAACAGTCAACTTTATAGTCATCTTCACAAGAAATAAGCTTTTATCACCATTGTTACTTTCTGTTGAAAATGAATAAGTTAATGCACACTGTCTATTTTAATTATACCCCGATAACTTTGACATTTCAAAAGTAGAAGGAGTATGAGTAAAGCAAATAAACGAGCTTTCCATTTACCGATCATTAGTAATTTCCTCCACCATTAATGGTTTGAACCGAAATTTCCAGCTTGAATTGAAGAAAATTTGATATAAACAGCTGATAATCAGATGAGAAGGATGAACGTATTTTGTTCGACGAGATATTTTTATATGCTGCATAGTTTCCGTCTGCTCACTGAATCTGATTGCGGCATTTCAAAGCCACTTATTACTTTCTTGTTAGCACTTCTTAAAGCAAAAAAAAAAAATTTACTTCATCTGTTACTTCAAGCAATGTTGTACAAATACATCCCTCTGACAAAATAAAATGATCTGCTCAAATTAAGCAAAAAACATATCAACTAACTTGAATAAACACGGCAATATTATTCAATTATTCAATATTCAATTCAAATCATTATTATTCAATCATTAATTTGATTTGATCAATAAAGAGGACATCACAGACTAATTACTCAAGAAAATGAATCGGAGGAATATACATCAGAGAAATATGAATTGAAATGCATGCTTGATTCCATTAAATTAACAGAATTCCAAAATTTCTACGCACCTGAAAAATCTGCTTCAAACGACCAGTGCATTTGGAAAAAGAAAGGAAAACAGAAATAACAAAAGTAAGAAAAGTAATGAAATAAGCGTGGGTGTGGAGGAAGCGGAATCGTATATTCAAAAAAGGAAGTCACTGACGATTTAACCATGAACAATGGCAGCATCAAATAAGTGGCACATTAAACTTTGTACTACAGATGGATGTAATAAAAGAGAATGATTATATCGCCGCTTTGTACTTATTTCACATCTATCCCTCGAAAGAAACTACTAGCTATCAAACACAATGATCTATCAGTGTTAACAATCAAAATAATATGGCATTTCTTAGCTGGATCAAATTTTGATTTCAAACTGGTACCGGTTGCGTTGCTTCGTCGATTTCATTAGACTAAAATTAAATGAGCGGCTAGTTACTTAACTACTGAGTTCATAAACTTGTTGCTATCTACCAAACACTGCAGCGATCCATCTTCAGAAAAAAACATGGGAAAGGAAAATCTCCATATAAAGCACTAAATCAACAATACAAGAGAAACAAAAAAAATTGTTACTGCAAAACGGTCTCAAAATGAGGCATCTCGTCAAAAATACACTATATTAAATGATAAAGAAGGAACTGGGACAATCAAAATTCACACCAAATTCTTTGAGGAATAGAACTACGCTTGAATAAACATAATAGTGACTTTAGCTTATTCATCCCGACATTTCCTTTTTTTCCATCCAAAATTGAACAGGAACTGAATTAGGAAACAATAAACAACGATCGAATCCAAAATAAAAGCTACACATCTCTTTCGGAAGATTCAATGGTGAAACAAAATGTGATTTTTGCAAAAATGCGTAAAATTTGCACGCACAGCAGTAGGCATTCAAGCAACCATTTGCGCATTGTTTGCTGCAGTAGGTGAAGGTGGGCATCGCGGTGGCGGGTAGGGCGGCGGCGGTGGCAAATCCAATACCGAATTTGACATAATCCAACTGAATGTAAATAATATATGTAGAACAGCAATAGCTGTGGAATGGAGGAAATGTACAAATTTAAAGCCCTTTTTTAATCGAATTCTTGAAATCTCGAGTTTGTCTTAGACAAGCATGCATTCTTCACTCACTGGTATCAGCGGACAAGTATATCCACCTTTTTGCGACCTCTCATTGTCTCGGACGGCTCGTCCTGCTCTGCAAATGTTCAAACTATGCGAAACGGCTGCAAAAGGACTAAGTGGTACTTCTCGTCTGCTTGTGGATTCCAAGTGCTGCAAGCCCTGCTAAGAACCCTTGATTGGAACCAATATGGGCTCAATATGAAATGCCCTACCATCCGGATAATTCTTAGAAAATTCGAAGTTAGCCAAACTTATATTCAAAATCTAATCCTTTATTTGCAGTCGTCTCTTATCTTAGCTTTTGTAATGTAATACAAACTGATCCAACCTGCTTCTTCCTATTCTTTACCATCGAGAGAGACACATGAATAGAACAATGCGAGGCCTCGCCCAAGCAAGATAATTTTTAAATCACCAGAATATTAACGTGAAAAGTGAGGGGCGGAATATGAAATCGAGATGAAATTTACTTTCATTTATATTGATGCAGTCTTTAATGAAGTCGAAATTAATGTCTTGTAAAATTTACAGGACTTCATGAAATGCGGAATGCATAATCGATTGCATACATCGGTGAGTTGTGGAGAGAGATAAAGAATGGCCAACAAGCTTGACAAGAGCTAGAACGGGAATATCAATCACCATAGACTAGTGAAGAATCAACATGGTTATGGCCTTCATTAATGATAATTTACGAAGTGATAGCGACGAGTGATCGAGAGGTTGAAAGTGATAGAAAATGAAAACATTTACCTCATCTGATTTCGACCAGCAGCATACGGCGAATAGTAACAGCAAGAGGGTGGTGAAGGGTCTGGTACATAAAGTTCTCGATGATATATCGGTGTCCAGCTAGCGGGTGGCCGTGTCGTGTACACTGACGTTGGTCGGGTATCGTAAGTGGTTGAGATAAAATGCGGTGATGTTGTAACCAAGACGGATGAGGAAAGTTCCTGACACGAAGATCGTCGTTGCAGCTGTGAATCAGCTATAGTCGAATCGTCCAGTACAGCATTCAGCGAAGATAACATCGGGTTCGATACTGATGATACACCAAGTCGAGTAGCGGAAGATGAGTTTGCATTTATCTTTAACTGAGTGCACGAACCTGAAGAAAAGTTTGATTTATTTGTAAAATTATGCAGAAGACCATTTAATTCAATTTCGAATTCTTGTATTTCGTCTAATGATCTATTAAGAGCTTATGCCACACTTTCTAAAACATTATTCTCACTTACCTTGCTGATGCTCCTGCCACAGAGCTCTCATCATTGGATATTGCCGGATACGACTATTCAGAGTCATTTCTTCCTGATCAATAATACATGAATGTCTCTGAGGTGCAACATCTTTTTCTGCGCTATTCGGATGCGCTTGGCATACCACCACACCCTTCTGTTTACAACGTGCATGTGCCTGCTATAAGTTAGAACTTTCAACTTTTTAAACCTTTCGAAAAACTGAAGCCGTCAACAGATAAAAATCTAGCGACCCGGTTAATGCGAAATAGTCTAAATTATGTCTTGTTAAATAGTGTTTCACATCAGACTCATCGGTTTATCATTAAAAACTTCTAATTTACATCCAAGTACATACCTTCAAGATAGCATGTTCATAAGGAGGTGGCTGTTTTGTATAAACAGGTAACCGTGTTCCCGGCGATGATTGCGAGTGTTTAATTGAAACTGCTGCATTTGATGACGGTACAGACAATTCATCCTCCAATTATTTCAATTTTATAAACTTGAAAAAAAAGGAAAAAAGTCTCGACTTAACTTCAGGACTTCTGAGGAAAACAAATACACACAATTCGTTAAGAATTTGTTGAAAATTCGAAATCCTTCGACTACGACACTTTCGAAGTAGCGGAAGAACTTACATCATCTACGTAATACTGAGAGTTATGGGTCGGCATGCTCTGCACACGACTAATTCCCCGAACAGCGGTGACATGGGGTACACGTTGTCCATGACGTTTTTGAAATAAGCCACCACTAGCTCCTGTACGTATAATAGGTGGTGTATAAGAGGGTGAAGGACGTGCTGATGATCCCATTAATGGCAGCTGATATGAAGTAGTAGGCGTTGACGTCAACGGGGACCCTGATCTCGTATACATCTGCAAGAAGCAAATTCATTATAAAAGAGCATTCCTCCCTCTTTCTCTCTCTCCCCATAAAAACGAAAATTACCGAACAGCCACGACCAGTACCATATTTTTTTATATAACTTTAACAAAATGAGCAGAAAATTACTCATCTTTTCAATGTTATATTCAAAGGTTTATCACATCAGTTTTTCTAAAGTATTATCAAAAATGAAAGACCTGATAGTGAAGTTTCGGTTCGGAATAAGTAAGATGAGTGGATGTTTCAAGTGGACATGAAACAGTAGCCTCAGAAGGATTGACACCAGCTACAGTAATCCATCGTGGCTTCATGTTTGGATTTGGATGTAGCCGATAGTAAGGAACTTGAAGCTTATTTTGTGTGTGAAAAGGTCCTAGCGTTTCATTATACTGTGGAGGTTGCTTCAAAACTACATCCACTATTAATTCGGTTTTTCTCACCTCTTCGCAATAATCCTAGAATAAGATTCATTAACTCAACTAAGAATGACAGAAAATGAATACCAGGAAATAATTGTGTTTGAAAAATGCTCTAAATGCTTTACAAAAATTTCGTATCATGCCAAGGTGCTATAAGAGATTATTAGGCCTTCAAGAACGAATAAATTCCGATGCTGATGGCGCTAATTTATAAACTTCATCAAACCTTCTGATTGCAAGAATCCACTTTTGCTCGGATCACCGGCATTGCATCATTGTCCGAGAACGATTGCTTCTTCAAGATAGGTTCTGGCTTGTTATCTACGTTTCCCACTCCATCTTTATTCCTTATCTGAATTTTTGCTAACTCTCATATCAAAAGTAGTCAAATCCGATACATCGTAAAACTTTTGTCACAGATTAGCGAGAAATTCTCTTTAAAATTACAGTCTTCCTGAATTCATCACTTTCTGATGAACAATTAATAATTTAATTGCCAACAGCTGTTGAGGAACAACTACATAATCTACTTCAAACAGAATCTAATTTTAATGTAAGACAACTCACTCCTTCCCCATATGCCGCATTTCTTATAGCAGAAATGTCACAGGAGGCAGAAATTGTCGTTTCGTTTGTTGTTTCAGCAATCTTTTTTGATAAATTTGCTTCTTTACTTCGCCTGTCACAATTTATTTTAGAATTTTTCATAACCAGATATTAAAAAATTGAAATGGAAGCAAAAATTCTTCACATATACAAACAAACAAAAATGAAACCAAATTATTAACTTGCACACTTTTATATAAAACATATGAAACAGATGTCGCGAATTTTGATTCGCGAGATTCCAACCATACAAATATATAATCAAATAAATTTCCCATTGTAAATCATCTAACCAATTTACATTGTTTAAAATAATCTCCCAAATGTTTC